TTATTATATAGTCTGAACTGTGACGAATCTTTTTCAGTTTGGCAATCCATTCTGTTCTTGCCATGCGAATACTTGCCGATTTTGTAGACAATAGAAAAATAACCTTGTCACATTTTATTTTTGATCTGTCTCCACTTAAATCAGCAAGGCTCCTTTGTTGTACAGTAACATGTTGACGGACAGTCTGTAAACAGGTTTTGATATCATGCATACACTTTGTTATTTGGTCCAGATCTTCCTTTACTATAAGTACAAACATTATCACCTTTAAAGTAAAGGTATTTTACTTGTTTTCAGCTTACAGTATCTGTTAGTTTATATCATTAAAATTGTATAGTTTTTCCATCGTTGTTTTTCTTTTTTATGTCCGATGAAAAATGAATTCGTACTTTTAACACTTCAAAAAATATATTCAGATTACAGTATTAATTTAGATCTTTTCCAACCGTTACTAATATCTTTGCTGTTTATTTGAGGATTATATGTCTTTAAAACTGCTATGTCAGTGGCTCATATATTGATCAATGTTTTACTAAAGAAAAATCTTTAAAGGTTCATTTGGCCTCATTTTTTCCTGCATTAGAAATGACAAACATGGGTTCTATAACGTATAAGTGATTGTTAAAAAGCATGTAAAATACTCATCATTTGAGGCAAGAAGCACTTGATGTAATATTATACTAGTAAGTCATAAAAGTAGCAAAATGAAATATAACCAAAGCAATATTTTTATTTCCATACAAACATACAAAACACTTGGCCACTATAACTTTAATTTTGCCAAAAAAGCAAATAAACAAAAACGCAACAAAAACACAAACAAACAGAAGTAAAGTATTGTTCTGGTAAAAAAGTACCTTGGGCATTATAACAGCATACCCTTAAAAAAGACTTTTAAGAAATCAAAATAAAAATTTTTCTTCGGCACTATGTGCCTTTAACACAGGTTATGATAGACATGTTTTGTTATCACAACCTTTTTAGATAACCCTGTAGCTTCTACTTGAAATATTTGTCACAATTTGTTAAATTAAGTACAAATATAAAAACGTTTATATTAACATAGCGATAACAACGGAGGAACGGGGAAGATTGGCTGTCGATAACGACTATTGATTAAACAATTCTGATTTATATGCCCAGATATATGGAAAACTATAAAACATGTAGTTTAAAGCTGCATGCCTCCAGATGATCGAAAATATTTCAATATAATCAAACTTGAGAAAAATGTACTAAGATTTTTGGAAAAGTAAAAGTATACAAGATTCAAGTAATAATTTACATGTTATGTACGATTAATGACTGATTTTCCGTATTTATAACTATATTTCTACTGCGTTACTAACGCAATAAGGGCAATTTTTGCATATTCTGTCTTCTTTTCCGACATTACGTGGGTTGTAACTGCAATTGATCATGTGTAAATTGCTTCCTTTTGGTTATTTCACTAAATAATACGTTTAAACACATTTTCAAAATTTTCATGAAAATTAGCATGAATCTTGAGGCGTGCTGCTTTAAAGGGTAAAAAAATCAAATTAATGTTGTCAGGGTTTAAGCTCACATGGCCATAAGGTCCTAAAATAAGAGCCTTTGTGATTGGCCAATACAAATCATTTCCATATTTTCTTTAAAAAGAAATTCCTCCTGCACGACTGGATAGTACGAAAGCCTAAAAGTGTCAAATAGAAAAGAATAAATAATAAAGGCGTTATAACGTGAATAAAGGCGTTGTTACGCGAATGAAAAGGAGTAATTACGCGTAGCAACGCAAATAAAGGCGAAGTAACACGAATATAGGCGTTATAACACGAATTGACAGGCATAATTACGCGAATCAAAAGGCGTAATAACGCAAATAAAGGCATTATAACTCGAAACAAAAGGCGTAATAACGCAAATTTAAACGCATTATAATGCGAACTTAATATCATATTTATACTAATCAAATTGCCTAGTAACGTGAGAAAGGAAACATAATATTGACCTATAAGTCTCCAAGTAACCTTAGATTGGCAAATATCAAAGAGTCTTCATTAGTGTATAAAAATTGTTTGCATTATTACTGCGCAAATGGAATGATAGTTATAGTAAATATATATGGTATTACTCTATACTTGTTTATATTTGAGCAATAAATTACAGTAAGTTATTATGCTTTTTGATTCGCGTAATTATGCCTTTCAATTCGCGTTGTAACACCAATATTCGCGTTACTTTGCCTTTATTTGTGTTGCTACGCCTTTTTTTCGCGTAATTACGCCTTTTGATGTGCGTAATTACGCCTTTTGATTCGCGTAACAACGCTTTTATCCGCATCATAACGCCTTTGTACAAATGTATTTATATTTTTTATTTCACACTATCAGGCTTTCTTATCAAATCTCTTAACATTCCGAAGTTATCAAAGTTATGCTTATTTTTGCACAGTCACGTATAGCTAAGCCTATATTGATTTTATATTTCAAAAGATTGTCAGTTATAATATTGATTGCCCAACAGTTGATGCTGGAAAAAGTTTGGAATAAACTATAAATCTGCCTAAAAATGCACCACTATGGTTATTAATTAAAGTAAGAGATTAATTCCGATGCATATTTACAGGAATTTCATTGGATCACGTGAGTTATTTATCGTTAATTTAAAAATGAAAACAAAATGTAAACTTTTTTTACTTTTATCTGTTCATTTATATATACTCTTAGATAGACATAGAAAGTTCAAATCTAATGCACAAAGAAAATGAGTATATACTCTAAAATACTAAAGTCCGGTTAGACAAAACACATATCTCGTACACGAAAAGATTTAAAGTCATATATTTTCATGAGGTATTGCTTAGTGTTAAATGTTAAATGTCAACAAGTTACAAAAACGATACTCCCAAGGTTTTAAATTGCTGAACCTTAAGGGTCACTCAATTTGCATGGACTTCATCTAAAAACAAGAGGTCCACTTGTTAAAACGTTGTACGCCCAAAGTAAGTTCTGTCGTGAGTATTATGAAAAATGAAAGAAAACAACCAGAACAAATTCCCGATAAGACCAGATTCTACACAAGTGGCACTGTTTCATTGACTTTATGACCTAAACAGGAAATGGTTTCATCATCTTGCCATGTTTCCAAAGCAGTTTCCCAAAGTTTCCCAAATCTTGTCTTCTTCTTTCTCAGGTTATTGAGCGGACAATGACTTTATATTAACTGGCAATGTGACCCTAATCTTTGACTTTATTACTCAACTCATTTATTATTCTATATATTTTTTCTCAAATCTAGGGGTATGTCTTTAGTGCAAAAGGATTTTTCTTGAAGTGTCCGTGTGACTTAGACCTTGAAACCTTAATCAATATCGGTCATCTTCTGATCATTGGTTATGTCCCTGTAAAGTTTAAAAAAAACACAGGCTTTTTCCAGATTTTTTCCTCGTCAAAATCTCAAGATTCATGCGGATAAGGATTTTACACAAGAGATTTTGAATTAAAAATCAGCATGGGTACGACCTTCGTCTTATAAGTATGAAGACACCACCTAATAGGTAGGTATAAAATTATTGAGCAGACATCGATGTGGCTAACACGAACACACGGGCGTATGCATACAGACAATTGAATGGACGAGCGCCGCTTTCTAGTAACCTTTGGGTGTATGAACATTCTAATATCAAAATACAAGATTCAAAGCTATTATGTTTTATTTTTGTGAAAAATGTTAGTTGGCATGTCATTGCTATTTGATAAAGTTGCAAAATACTCAACCTACAAATAAAATGTATCGATTATGTATAAATATGCATAACCTTGACTTTGAACCCAGTGACCCCAAAATCCACTCAAACTTAAACAGATGGACGGTTCAATTATTATATGCCCGTGGGCATGATAGAAAATGTAACCAACTAACTACTTTTTCATCTGATTGTTGTGACACTATTGGATTAACATACAATAAGCATAAATCTAGTACAATTTTGAATGACGTAAATACAACATTAATCATATACGTATAATCGTATTTGGTAATCTGAATCACAGCTATAATTCAAAACATATTCAACTAATAAAGACACACCAGAATTTATTTGTGAAGAAAAGAAAACAACAATTTGCCTTGTACAAATACCTTGTCATCAAAGGGAGATAACAAATGTCAAATATAATGTGATAGCAGATATAAGAGGAAGTAAAATCATTTCAGAAAAAAAATCCTAGAAATTTTCACAATTTTTTTTTATTTGCTTGGAAATATTGTTAATCTATTGACTTTATGATCTTATTCGCTGCAGTTGTAAAAAACGTAATTATTAAATGATTATTAAATACTTCTGACCAGAGTTTATTAAAATTTATTTAAAAAGGGCACAGGACCCAGCTTTTTTTTGTTTGGACGGAAAGACTGACAGACGGATGGACGGTTCAATAACTATTTGCCCGTGTGCATGATAAAAATGTTCATACAAAATAACTATACTAACTACTTTTTCTTCTGATTATTATGGCACGGTAGGATGCATAACTCTAGTACAGTTTTGAATGACTTAAATACAAGAGTAATCAAAGTGAGATAACAAATGTCAGATAATAAAGTGATAGCAGGACAGAGCTATCTTTGTAAAATTAAAAACGAAAGAGGTAATAAAAATCATTTCAGAAAACCTAACATCCTAGACTATGAACAACTGGAAAATTTCTCAAAAATTTATGTGCTTTAAAATAAGGAAAATCTGTGGTGACTTCGTGATCTAAATCTACTGCAGATATACACAAAAGTAATTATTTAATGATAATTCTTTCATGTGTCTTTACTATTTACTAGTGTTTATTAAAATTTATTTAAATTTTTGTATCAGATTAACTACTATAAATTGTATAGTTAGAAAACAAGAGTTGTTTAACAATAAACAATCATCATCTGATTGTTGGAATCTTAAAAACGAAAATTTGTCAATGTTTTATGAAAATTCATAATTTAATATGTTTAAAATTTATATTTTTCAGAATGTATCACGTCCCAAATTACACCCAGACCGTATCGATGAAATTATCAGAGGTTCTGGCTGATATAGGTGTTGATGAGAGGATAGTGCTGAAGAGGAGAAGAACATGGCTTCTGACAGAATCAATAGCAAATATAGATAATCAATCGGCGCGTGATTCTTTAATATTCAATTTTGGGAGTCAATCAGAAGGTACAACAACACCAGGAATGAATTCAGACTTAGATACACTTGCTTGCATAAATGTACTCCCTGTGATACAAGACTGGAGTGATTGGAAACTTGGTGTATTTAATCTATTGATGACTGAAGATGATTCTGTATCTCCGGGATATTGTTTACTTCAGGTGGTAAGACCTGATGCTCCTCTTCCTCGTTACGGTGAATCTGATGGAAACTTTGTCAAAGACAAAACAGGAAAATTATTTTATAAGAACCCTTTAAGATCTTTATGTGCAAGATATGGTATAAAAATACATGGGCCAGCAGGTGAACAAAAAAATCGACCAGGCTTCCTTGATAAAGATAATGTTTTAGCTCTAAAATGTACCACATGGCCACTACAAGCTAGACAATGGTTGGATCAACAATGCGAAGGGCACTGGCCATCTGATGAAATTAAACACCTTTGCAGCAGAACTGGATGCTTACTTGTTGGTGTTGGATGTAGGGGCAGTGAACATGAGCAACTTGAATGGAGAATATCAACATCTTTTTCAGAAAGGTTGTTAATGTTTAACTTGAACATTACACAAATTCGCTGTTATGTCTTGATGAAAATGCTTATAAAAACATATATTAATCCACGGTTTGAAGATGTTATTTCAAGTTTTATGTGCAAAACTGTACTCTTCCACTGTATTGCCAATACACATTCTAGCATCTGGAGAGAAAATAACTTACTTTCTTGTCTCTCACAGTGTTTTTATCTGCTGTACAACAATATCATTAGTGAAAATTGTCCACATTTTATCATTCCTGGGAACAATTTAATGAGAGGTAAGATTTCATCTGAAAACAAACCCTATCTCCGGGAAGAAGTCAACAAGATTGTCAGCAATGAAGGAGAGGCACTACTTAAAGTACTTGGGATCAAATATGATGATCTTGGTTCAAGGCTTCGTCTCAAGTTTTATAACAGATCTTTAATCAAGTCAAGTCACATTATTTCAGGAGAACTATTATTTAATCTCGCTATAAGAATATCTGTGAAACTGTTAGATACTTATTATCTTCATGAGGACAGAAGTCCTAATGTAGCTGTAGAAATATTTAAGAACAATATATCAAAGATATTCAATTGTCGATATGAAGGATTGGATAAGACAGCCAGTCTTCTTATTACACCATTGTATTGTACAACACTTGGATCTGTATTGGCTTCCATCAACATAAATCAGTACAACACTGTATCAATAGATACCCTAAAGCTCATCTCTCTTGGTCTGAATACGGATGTTGCATCAAGTAGACTGAAACTTGCCTCAATCTTATTCCGTGTTCAAGAAATACAAAAAGCTGACGTAGTACTCAGTGAGATAGAAAGAAGATATGATCTGCAAATTGTTGAGCCTGTCTGTAATTGTTATCTATTTGAGAGGAAAACATTAAAGCAAAGATTCCATGAATTATGTGATAACCATAATGAAGAAGTCTTACAGTATATAACAGCATTTTGTGTTACATTTCTGCCATGTGAAATTCACTGTGTACCAACTGAACTGAGATATGAAATACAAAGATCTACACAAGAGGAGAGAATATGTCGTACAGAAAGAGACAAGAGATGGATGGATTATGCTGTGGTGGATTCCCTCCCTTATCTCTACTTTTTACAATACAAGGTTAACAACCATCTAGGGAGACATGACGAAAAACAAGCTGCTCTTTTCAAACTTGTAAGAACAATAAAAGAGGAACCACACCTAGGACATCGGGAAACAGCTCTAAATATTCTTGGAAAGTGCATGATACAAGAAGGTAGAGCCGGAGATTCTTTACAGTGTTACAGATGTCACTTAATGTAAGAGGGCGAAACAATGCTGCGAAGATTCATATTGCGACACTCCTTTCGGTATTGATAAATTCAAGGTCATAAAAAGTACATAAAATTCAATCTGTCTATAATTGAATCTATAATTCCATATTTGAAAGAGATAAAGCAAACGTCAAGCGTTTGAATATAAGGTTGTTTGATGTATTGTAACTGTTAACACGATTTTATACATGTTTTCTTTTTATGTTGTTTGTTGTATATACATGCTTTTTTGACCATATACATATACTGTTTTGTAAAAGATTATTTACATGTATAATATTTTCCATATAACAATATTCCTGAAAGATTTTATAATGTTTTAAGCACAGATTTTAAGCACAGATATTTCTATCTTAATGTATTAAACAGAAAATCTTTGAATAAATTTAATTTGCTAGTTATTTTATATAGCTATTCAGATCCTATTTCTTCAAATTTGTATGACATTTGCGCGTAAAAATTAATTCTTTAATATCAAATCTTTCTTGTATTGTGATTGAAAATTGAGATAAATATAATGTATACTTTGCTTGGATAAATAAATTACAACAACTGAACCAATTTTGTTACAGTATTATAATTTGGAAAAAAAATAAACGAACACTGAAAAACTTACCTTAAGAGAAATAAAACAGAAGCAAAAGGAGCTTCATTATATACAATTATACAAGCAATAAAAGGTTCTCCAACAACAAATATTAAATGCAAACTCCCTGTCATACAATGTATATTCAGCTGCATTTAGGGTAGGTAAGAGAAAAGGTCCCTTTTATGGTTGTATGGGGTACCTATGCCAAAAACAGTTTTATGTTGGCTGGAAATAGTGCATTTATGTTGAAACTAAAGAAAAATATTTCAAATTTGTCAAACAAATTTTCTCTGCAAGATGGATACAATAAGCAGTAAATTTTCTATCAAACGCATTGTGCTCTAAAGTATTTGACGAATAACACTATAAATTGTTACACAAATACACATGTAACGTTTGGAGGCTTTTGATTCAAGCACGTACATTGTATGGCTGTTTTTAACTTCATAAATCAACAGCAGCCGTGCATGTAAAACTATATAAACGTCACGATTATCCAATGTTTAGCAATGTCACAAACTTGCAATATTATAATTTATGTTAATGCCAGTTCCCTCTACAAGTTACATTATTTATTTATACCAGTAATTTATTATTTTAATGCAGCATACCTCCAAATGAGTAAAATAAACTTTGAGAACAAGTGAAAAATGAAAATGCTATGCCACTGCATTAATGCAACACGAAACAGTAGGAACAGAAAAATGTATTAACAGTTACACTTATTTTTCTTAGATACTATCTTTTCAATTAAGCATTTATATATATTTCTGAAAACCTTAAAAACATTAACAATTTACAACCATTATTTTATACATGGTGTGTATCATCATGCCCTGATGATGTGCTCAAATCATTTCATAAATATCCCTGCAAAGCAAATATCTCTTTAACTAAAGGTCATGACCTTTAGACCAACTTCCTGCAATTGAATCTTTGTCCAAAATACATTCCACTGCAAGTTGTTTCCCGCACATTATTTAACTATGGTTTGAAGAGAAGCCAGGACCTCTAAGGCAGGGCCAACTTTGACACCAAACTGTAATTTGAGTCATCTTGATTGGGGTTCACTAGACAATGTTTCATGCTACTTATCTGAGATCTAGCCCTTGTAGTTTAAAACAAAGATTTTTAACATTTTTACAATAATATACATACATGTAGTAGGAAATCACATTGACCTCAGGCCTATAATTAGAAAAAATCTTGGTAGAGGTCAACCACATAATGTCTTATGCAAAATTTCTAAGCTCTTGGCCTTGTGGTTCTTGACAAGAAACTTTTTAAATCTTTCTTGTAATTCCTTTTGATTGCAATTACAAGAAGATTTTTGCATGGAATCAAGTTCTCTGAATAACCTTAAAAGCCATATACCCAAGGATCTTGGCAAGTTTGTTTGAACTTGGACTAGTGGTTTTTAACAAGAAGATTTTCTAAGTTCACCATAATTATAATCTCTATAACACAGACACACGTTGAAGATTAATTAAAGGTCAATGTCAATATGTTTGTTGCTTCCATGTCTTGTCTTTCCAAATATAAATCACATCCATACATAAATAAAAAAATTCAATAATTTGAATTTGACGGTCAGTCAGTTAAAGTTCAAGGTCAGTTAACTCTTATAGAAGGTTATAGGTTATAGTATCATAGGAGGAATCGCATGTCCAGCAGCGTTAACACATCAGTTAACAAAGGTGTGTTCATTTGTTGCTTCTGATAAAGAATGTGTATGTTAAGTTCTAGTAAGCACTATAACCTTCTGTCTAGCAGATTTGTGGAGATACAGAGTGGCCTCATCACAATTATAGACCTGGCTTGTCTTATCATAAAGTTTATTTGCATCCATGGTTCCCTTAAGCAATTCAAAATAATCTTTAAGAGTGTTTACGTTGCAAAAGTATTCTGTCTATCATCTGGACGACGTGGACTCAGGTTAGGGTGTCTGCGTTTGAATCCTCGCCACCATTTACGACTTGGTCCGTTCTTTGTTAAAACGTCAGCCTTTTTATGCTCCTTTGCTATACACCATTCAAATCCTAAGAGCTGTGGCACAGATAAAGAAAATCCACCATTTGCCATGTAGAGGATATAATCACAAAGTCCTTACGCTTCGTCATCAGTTAAGGCGGTTTAAACTCCCATCTTAGATTTATGTAGTGGGACTTTGTGATGAACTCTATCAGATAAGGACATCCTTGGCACTCCGAATAATTTTGCAGCTGCAAATATGCTCTGTTTTCTGTTTTGACTGCTTTAAATGCTGCAGACATAGACTCCTCCGACCATTTACGAAGTTTTTTGGGGCGTTTGGATTGATTTTCCATATCTTTGCAAGAAAATGAGTAACACTACTACTAGTAAGGTAAGCATTTTGAATTTGCCACGAAATTTAAATAATTAATCGTTAAATTTAAGCAATAATATGAGCCTAAATTACCTCCAATCGAATTGACTTATATAATATATGTTTATTCTTTGAAGATATGTACAAAGATATTTAAGTTTTATTTTGCCAGCCCCAATAACAATTCAGTACAAAGCAATAAGGATATTTTTTTAAAGATATATGACGACAGCTGACTGGCTTCAAACTAACTCGCCCCTTGTCTAGCAATCATTGGATTACAAATGTTATGAACAAACTACTCAGCCATACCGCTTCAAGATAAGAAATAATTAACATAATATATCTAAAGTTTTAGTTTGATTTTTATTGTAATTTTACATTGATATTTTTATACAAATTATACAAAATATTATTCGATCTTAAACTTATATAGACAGCTCTTACTTTCTTTATCAAACGCATATGTTTTTTCGGCGTATTTTATATACAACGTATATCAGTGCAATGAAATAGAAAATATATTCACCTTTCAAAATAAGCGGCTTTTAGTACTTCCAGATAACACGAGCGAGAGAAAACGAGAATACAAAAAAAACTTACGACCATGGGATCATGGCGACTTTAAGGGATTTAAGCCTTTACGGTTTCAGTGATTATTTTTTACAGACTTTCAAAGACTTTGTTTTACACTTTGAAGGAAAACAAATATATGACCAGTGTGCCAATGTTGACAAATGCGCCAATGTTGACCTGATCATACGGACATAATCTACATAAACTTAGTAGAGACCCACTAGATGGCGCAGCATGCAAAATATCTAAGCAGCTTTAAATTTTATTCTTGAAATATCAAAGCTAGCTTTATAAAACCTTGTCATATCATTATGATGTGGAAGTTTAAAGTTTGAAGTAAATCCTTTAAGAAATGAAGATGTTTGATTAAAAAAAAATTCTAGATCTAAGTTCAAGGTGGATATAATTCTGGAAAGAGTCAAGCTAGAGCATTGACTTTTTTCACATTTGTTTTGAGTGATAATGAGGAATATATACTTAAAGTTTGAAGTAGATACTTTAAATACGAAAGAAAGAAGTTATAGAAAACAAACAGCATCTTTTTTGTGAAATTCTCAAATTCAAGGATGATAATTCTGATGATAACATAGGTGCTACAGTTGTTAACTTTGTCACATATAATACGGCTGATGATCAGAAACATACATTTGAAATTTGATCCAACATTTGAACGCGGTTGCAGAGGCTATGTGAGGAAGACACCTCTCCATATTCTCCGTTAGTTAAGCTGAAAATGACGTGCCGTGAATAAATTCATTACTGCCATTCATCCATATTTAAAGTTTCATTAAAAAATATTTACAATACCTTAGTTAAGTTACCACAAATATTGTGATAAATATCATTTACTACGCCGATTTGTTGTTATAGCAACCAAATTGTTCAATATAGGATGAAAATAACATGCATAATATACAGACTGCCATGTACATATTTGTCAAGTTTCATTAAAATATTTTCAGTACTTTTTGCAAATTCGCGGGATCCAGTTTTTGTGTTATATTTGCCATATTTTAAGTCTATTTGATGTCATAGCAATCGAATTTGTCAACATATGAAGAAAAGAAGAAGACATGCGTGATCTCAAGACTAACATTTACCCATATTCCAAGTTTAATTGAATATTTTCAGTACTTTTTGCATTATCACAGGATCCAGTTTTTCTAGACGGACAGACTGACAGACGGATGGGCTGACGGACGGATTTACGTTCAATTGGTGTTTGCTTTGGGAATGATAAAAAATCATATAAAGTAACTATACTCACTATTTTTTCTTCTCATTATTATGACACTATTGGATGCATAAATCTAGTACAGTTTTGAATGACTTAAAAACAACAGTAATGATATATTTGGAAATCTCAATTACAGCTATAATTCAATAAAGTATATTTAATTATAATATAGTCAGAACAGGAATTTATATGTGAAAAAAAAAACAGA